ACTAGCCTCCCGCGGTGATCCATGGAGCTTGTTCAGTGCTTCATGGATCCCCCTCAGGAGGCTAGTTTTACTACAGCACTTGAAGCAGTCAATATTTGACTGGCACAATGGTGCAGACTGTTCCACATCAGAAGTCTCCTCGTTGTCTTCGAGTCTACTGATCCCCGTGGATCTGAGACCAGGTGGTGTCAATGACAGTGATGGCTCTGGTTACCTGGCACCGCACAATGAGCAGACTGTGCATCTGAATGCCGCGTTTTGTGTGCAAGAGACATCTTGATAATGTCACATTTTAACTATTCATGCTGTGATGAATCATGTAGGATATTGCATGCATTGTGGAGCACTGAAGACCCACTGAACTTTTTCACAAACCATTTATTTCTAAAGTTTAAGGCTCTTCAGTGACAGGTATATACAGTCAACTTTTGTGGAATGTGAAATATGGGCTATGCTTCTCAAAATTTTACAAATTTCAGAAGAAGCAAACTACATACATGTCTGACTCCCTCCCCATCCTGATACCCAATTTTCATGATTTCCTGATCTTACACTTCTCCTCAAATCATGACTACTCCATTCGAAGGGGTTACCATTTAAGTGAACAATGTAAAAGTTGTTGAGAATGCACACAGATGTTTCTCAACAGTCAACTGGCTACACTATTTGCCTTCTAAACAAAAGCAGATGAGCTCCACCAAATGTGCACATGAAAGTACACAGTTTATTAACACTGGCCTAAATTACAAGAGGTAGATAGACATTGGTGCAATCGTATCCTAATTGGACTCATAAATGCGAACAAATAGAATAATGTCTATGTAGTTGTACTTTTTATGTTTTGTGTCTGATGTCACATTCTGTTAGTCCCTACACACATTGCTAAATATCAGTTCCCAAGGAGGAATAAACAATCCTAACTATATCACCACAACTAACTTGGTACCACATCACAGCTGAGATGCTGGTTGGCTGGATTTTTCTTCTTGAAGCAATCCAGCACAGGTGGTCCCACCACAGGTACGTAATAGTCTAAAGGTTCATTCCCACCCCCTCAGGGGGGGGGGGCACCAAAAAACCAACATACCACCTGCTGATGGATGGGGGGATCTAGTGACATCCTGGCCGGGGGGTTGGAGACAAAAACCCAACCACCTGCCGCCAGGGCTCCCTAATCTCTCATCTTTTCATGACACATCCTGTATGAAATTGTTTAATTCTATCGGCTTTGATGAAAAGATGCTGATGAAAACTGTTTATGATGCCAGGCTGTTCCACAAAAGACCTGAACATCCATGATGCGTAACCATGGTATGTTCATTATCGGCATTGATAGAAGGAACAGCTTTACACCATGAAAGGTACCTTACCCTACTGGCTGACCCTAAATATCAAACAGAATCTGAAGTATGTCAGAAAACTCAAATAACATGTTATTCAGCGCACAACTACCGGTACATGTACATGTATGGTTTGGCAAACCAATCAAGTTACAACACCTTTGAAATTAAGAGTATTTTCAATTTCTGGAGCTGACATAAATGTGAATGTTGGTTTACCTACAGGGCATTCTTTCTCTAGAGAACTGGGACTCCTCACCGTTCACAATTTATAGAGGCAGACACTTACAATATTTGTACACACAAATGATTCTTTTTACTGCCAAGGCTTCTCAATAAATGTATGTGAGTGACGCCAAAAGAATGAAATAAAGTTTGGGAAGTTGACAGCAACACTGTCTCAGATTTCCAAAGCGAAGTGCGTACGAAGAAAGAATGATGTGGTTTAGAAAAGCTGCACAAAATGACCACCCAGGCTCACCATTGTAAAGTCTAATACGGTAAACGACTGCGGTTGTAGTACCTTGTCATTTTAAAAAGTCAGCTTTTCAGTTGAAAATAAATCTATGCCTGAGACAAGTCTGTGGTGAAACAACAACCATCAGTGGGTAATTAAAATGTTTACATTTAACGAGACAGTGCATCACAGTGAAATTAACAGAAATGACTTTGCCTGAATGTGTACGGGGGAATGCCCACAGGCAGAATGTTACACGTCAAATGATTAGAATGTCTCCAATGACATCTAAATATATCAATCTGACGGCTTAATTCCATTGAGCACCATCTTGTTACTGAGCAGCCAGCATGTTGTGGTCATCAGCAAAAAGGCATTTGTAGACAGTGGCCTTTCCTTACCCAGCCCATAATTTATAAGTATGATTATTTGTTGTCATGCCAAAATCAGCCAACTTAGCAGTTGTTTGGTGGCATGGATACATTCTGTCATACCTTGTCATCTGGCAATGTTCCATCATTTGCCAGTTTTGCATTAACGGCATGTACCCGTATTGAAGTCTGAATCGCCCGTATAGCTACCAAATCTTTCGCCCACGGGCACTAATGACTCCACGCACCATTCGTTGATGTGAGCTACGTGCACAAATTACCAAACCTTCAGCATGAACTACATGCACAAATTGCCAACCCAGATCATATGTCCACTTTGAACTCGTGCCACATCATCTTGAGAGAACAAGCCGCCAACCTCCCCCATCCCCTTCCCGCCAAAAAAAACAAAAAAAAAATGAGAGGTTGAGGAAAGCAAACAATCGCCAGTCTCCAGGGGAGAAAAAAAAGAAGACAAACCCACAAGCCTTCGGTCAGGGAGATCCTGGGCTCATAGTATAACATTCAGGGATCTCAATGATTTCACCAACACCATCTCACCATCTGACATCTCCCCCCCAGGCCAGTTCCCGATCACATTCTACCTTCTCTGCGGGCAGGTGGTTTTCCACAACATATCTCCTGATGAGCGACACTTGCCCCGGTTTTTCTCTCCTCTTTTTTTTTCCCACCTTGCATTAACACAAATTACAACACAGGCAAGAGCCCTCTTGATAGTAGTTTCTGAGGCTATTTTCATACTCCAATATTCTACGACGAAAGAGATCCGTGGACCATTCTGACACCTGGTGCAGAATTGAAACATTTGGTTTAAGTTCTAGATATATAGTGTATTGCAGGATAACTCTCTTACTCTTTTGGGTTTCATGAGCTCTATTACTGCCTCATTTTGAAGCAAGAATCCTGAAGCTTATAAAAAAAGGTAAATTTCCAATCTTCTCTATACAAAAATTAATGTTTGCCACTGCTATTGTCAAATCTTGCCACTGCCACTTGGCATCATTTAACATAAAGGAATAAAACATCCTGTTTGTACTCCACTGTGATCGGATGGTTTTGTAAATGGCAGCCTCAGAAGGTATCATCATCATCATAAAACTTGAAAAAGCCAATTTTCATTTGCAGTTTGTTTACTTTGGATATATGCAGGCTGACAAATTGACGGCCTACGCCACATGTATCCTAACACTAATCCCTAGAGTTCAGTACGTGTGTGAATGATGATGACTTCTGAAGGAGCTATGAAGACAAACTAAACGCAATCCTTCTTCAATCTTAACTGCATTTGCAGAGAGGTACATGTACATGTTGCAAGTCCTCTGTGGTTTCAAACTTACAAAAAAAACATAAACAAAACCAAAACAAATCGCCATTCTTTTCACGGCACATCAACTGTCCATGATTACTTTGTCCACACTGTTCCAAGACCGTGGTAACCCTCAAAACTGATCTCACAAACTGGCGGCAGACATCACAGTGAAGCAGGGAACAAACCAAACACTAAACGCAAATTTATACAAACTCACAGCTGTCAAACTGGTTCCACATTAAACTGGATGTGACAAGAGCCACGCACACTCAGGGCGCCAGTTTGAGATGAGCAAAGTACACGTAACACGCTAAAAAAAAAAATTGCACACTGGCAAAAAAGTGGAATGTGAATTGGCGGTTAATGTTACAGGAGGAACGCACTATAAAAACCTATTGCACACCCCAATGTCACATTATGTCCTGAAATTTCACGCTGCACGTAACTCTGTGACAGTCTAAATAAACTGTCTGGTCATATCTTCCCAAAATTGGAATCCAGTGACTGTCTTGTACTCTTCAGGTTCACCCTACAACTACGTCTTTAAAAATAACAAACAGAAAATAAAAACCTAGGAAATGTTACAGGCCTTCAAGGAAAATGATCTACAATCTTATTTTTGAAACTAACTTTTTTGGGTTTAAATGCCAAAATGCACTCATGAATTTCTTTACAAAAATTTGACATGACTTCTTGAATCCTGGAGTGCAACACGACAGCAGTTTCAAAACGGCATACATTTTAAACACATGCATATCAGCTAAAGCCCAATTCTAGTAGATCTGCAGGAACTGTACCCGTACGTGGTATTGCATGGCCAATTCATCAAAGTTGTGGAAACACTCCCTCCATGGGCATAATTTGCACACATGAATTGCACAAGAGTTCACAAGACCATATTTTCCACTTTACTGCTAACAAATTTGTGTCATCTTTGAACGAGAGGTCTGGAAATGAATGGAAATCAAGCTCAGTGCCCACAGAATCATACATTTTGAACTTATCATTCCACAGTACATATACACATACATCTGTACAAATTTCAAGCTTTGTTATTTTCAACATGCCTCTCACTGAAGGTCAACCAGATGCATGAAACATGACTTAACAAGGACATAAAAAGGCCCCTCGGGGTATGATTCATTGCCTGGCAATTTGACAAATAGTGATCACTCTCTTTACAACCCCTTTTGCAAAGCAACCTGTCCACAATTCGATAAACAACATCCCCCCCTCATTTCGAAATTCAGTAGAGGCAAGAAACAGCTGTAGATCTCCCAAACACTGAATTATGCAAGCTCACGTGGAGGACTGATCCGTCATCTGGGGCATGCTGATGGGTAGGGAGGAAATTATTCTATGATAGTGTGTAGGAGACAGGAGAAGACCTCCGAAAAAAGAAAGTTCTTACTGTAGTACATCGTGCCGAGTTGCAGCTGTCCATCCACCCAGCCCTGGTCGGCGGCTGCTTGGAAGTACTGGAAGGCCTTGTTATAGTCCTGGATAAAAGAAAGGCAGTTTGTGCATGGATTGATTGGTATCCTGCAGGAAATTGGCAAGTTTTCAAGCTCAGGCTAGCTTAGCCCTCATCCACATTTGGGTCTTTGAGTCTGGACACTATCAGTGTCAGAGGTTGAAACCAGAGATAAGATACAACCGTCAATAGCCTTTCATAGATTGACATTGATTGTGGTGTACTGAATTATACAGCTTGCATTAATTATGCATACATTTATATTAAGTATGCAAATACTTAATGGATGTAATTGCTACGGGTAAATATTAAAATGGCAGTCAAGTACGCTCTTTTAAGACCATGGTCACTACAAATTTCACAGCACACTGTGCAGACATGGACAGGACAAGAAAATGCTTATACCCAATTTTTTGTGAGCATTTTTTTTAAAAACCGCTTGTGCACAATAATTTCTAAGTAAAAAGTAAGCCTTTTATTTCTGAGCCGCTGAAAAAAATATTTTTAAAATACCAGTAGGAACATCCTGCAACTCTGTGTGCATACATATTCCTGGAAAAGTGCTCCATATTGGGAAGAAGCAGAAGTCTGTGCAAATGATATTTGCACATCATACACAATTTCTTAAAATTCAAACTTAAAACATCAAAGAATGTTACTTAAAGTAAGAGTACCAGGTTATGCTGAAAATACTTTCCAACAAGCGAATGTATTAAAATATAATTCATGGGCATCACACAAATCCACTGAGGAATTCTGTTTAATTGAACTATTTGAAGATTAAGTAAGAACCAAAAAATGGACAATACCAAGAGCAAACGAGACAAAAATAGAGGGGACTTAGGTTGCTGGAAATTGGCACAGGCCACTTTCCTGTTTCTGCGCTTGACTCTATCAAAAGCCAGATGTGATAAAGTGGCGATTCGGCAAGAGTGCAGCGGCATGTTGCTGCCGGTGGCCCTGGGCACAAAGGCCACTCAGGAAGTGCCTACAGGTGACGGGCAGAAATTCAATTTCCAGAGTCACTAAGGTGTTAAGCAGGGCCTGCCGACGGGACCATACCTTCAAGGCATAAACAGGTTCACAGGGCTGGAAAGTTCCAGGGAGGAAGTCTGACCATCACTAATGCACTCGATCTGTTGTCTGTTTTCCTTTTTAACCTTCAGTTTATCCCGCATCAAAGGGCAATGCCAATATGGATAGTGTTCATCAATGCAACAACAACGTTTGCATTTAGTAGTTGTTTATGAAGCAGCAAAGTGCAGTTCCCGTCAAAGGAGTCTCCACTCCAAGGAAAATTGCACCCTCTCTTGGTCACGCTCATGGCCGATACTGCAGGGGCTACTCTCAGTGAGCTCTCACATTATGCATACATGCAGTTTTAATGACAGTGTGGGTAGGCCAATTTCAGCTGTCTTAAAAAGTTGTGATGCAATCTTGGCAAGAATGACCACCTGCTGTGGGAAGGATTTCTGTCAGCTGACCATATGACTGCATTAAGCAAATGGCAGCCTCAGTGAAGCGTTTGCATTTTGAAAGTTCTGACAAGAAAGGGTCTTCTCCATCCTTTCTCAAAAGTGCCCACTTTTTTAAATGATATCAGGAATTTTTTCTGGGACATCAGAGATCTTTGTGCAAAATTGAGAATTTTATTTTGTGATTTCGTGTAAGAAATGTCCATTGTGAAATAAGTTTTCAGTATCACATTACTGTGCAATAAGAACAGGTGATGCCACTGAACAATGTCACTTTACGGTGAAAAGCATCATGACGTGGAAGTTATCTGTAATTTAAACAAGATGGAAAATTGAAAGACCAAATATTCTGAATGACTGTTGTGGCTTGCTGTAAAGCATTTGATGGTTGGTTGCATATTTTACCAGAGGGAACAGCTTGGGAAATGCATTAATATAGCCATTGTGTATTCAGAGAAAACTCTGATAGATCTCAAACATGGCATTCATTTGCGTTTAGACTTATTTGTGGAGCACAAGCCAATCAGAATGCAAATGGACTGAGGCTCCTTAAAACCAAAAAACAAAAAACAATCATCCTCTTAGGATTCAAAGGAGAGACCCCCAGTACCTTAATTTCCCGAAAAGTGCACCCACTATTTCTACAGAACACACAAGGGAAACCTCTACCTGGTTGATAAACACAAACAAAAGTGGGGCAGCCATTATGACCTGGTCAATTTGCACATTTAGTGGTCTGGCATGGGGGGGGTGGTGTCAGAGAAAAATTCAGAATGCAAAGGTAATTGCCGATAAATAATACATCAGAGACTTTGTGATTCCTTGACTCAGAGCTGTTGGTTTTGAAGTGAATCTATAGGATGGCAGGGCACATATGATTTGCACACAACCTATCAATAAAATGACCGATGAAAAAAAGATCTCATGGTGATATTTTCTAGAAACATTGTTTTTCGTATTTCAATTTCAAACATCTGTAAATGAAGCAGCATAGGTTCAGACCACCGCCATCGGACAATAAACATGAATTAAATGTCAGACTGCAAATGGATAACCATGTACTTGCCTACTAGCACAATGAGTACGGACCAAATAGATTTGGTTTAAATGGCAGCGTGGTGGGTTTGAATGACAACGTATTCTGTTCACAATGACAATAATTTTTTATTTAAATGATGCAAGAGTACATCTAATAAGTTGAGTGCAGATTGGCAAGGTAGTTCTTTCCTCGCCTTCCACCTCTGTGGTCCCGGGTTTGATTCCCGGCCCGGTCCACATGTGGATTCAGGGGACGAAATTAACTTGGTTTCTATGGTAGCCCACAGGACTAGTAATGTCATTGTTTTACTAGTCCTTTGAGTTTTTCAGTAGTCCTACAAAAATACTAATACGTCTAAGAACAGTAAAACAACACAGGATTCTTTTCATTTACATGTATATAAGTATGGTTTAATATGCCTTATATTTGCCATTCCACATTTTATGTTACTCTCCAGCAGGCATGCAGGTCCCAGGAGGCGAACACTGCTACTTTCCACGATTCTAGTCCTCAGACTAGCAACGTTCACTTTAGATTTTGCAAGCCAATATAGGATTTTCACATTAAAACTTTAAGTTAAAGTAACCCAAAACAGCATACATTCACAATTTTTTGTCATACTTGCGTTAGCAGAGGAAGGATTAATGATCGATGTCATTGTCTGCATTTATATTGCTTGCACAATTTTTAAAATCAAACTAAAATAATTAAGTTTTGGATTTTTGGCACTCATATCGTTTCCTAAATTGCGCGAATCCGAAAAGACGGTATCGATCCATGTGCGCTCGGAAAATTGTATTGTTTCTAACGCACAATGCGATTGGCCGAATCGTTTCATTCTTTTCAGTAACAGCCAGTAGAAATCAATCTTATGTGCTGGAAAGACTATCATTATCGCTTCAAACACGCAGGCTGATTGGACAAAACGCTGGATTATTTTCGCGATAGCCCAATAAAAAACGTTTTTTCTCGCTGCACAATATATCATTAAAGTGTATGGGTTACCATGAAATCCACACGTACACTTGTATGATGCGTACAATGTCGTGTGGCTGGTCTACGTGAGTAGAGTATCAGCTCAACGTGAATACATGTACGCATGGGCCGTGTTGTGTATGGAAAGAACCCGTCGTGTCTACAGTGTAACGGTAGGCTGTACAAATGTACATGTACATGTACATGCATCTGCAATCAAAATACCACCGCACGGCATGGTGTTACATTTACGGTGTGTATTTCTTTTCAAGCCCTGCTAAAAAAAGGCACTAGCCCGTCGGACTACCGACAAGTAGGAACTACTAGTCCTCCCACTAAAACCACTAGCCTCGGGCTAGCGGACTACCGCTAATTTTGACCCCTGGGATTGGGTTTTCAGTCCCTACCTGACTCCGTGGGTTTTACCAAGAACATTTCTCTGGGGTTTTCCTCCCACCTCTAAAACTGTAACTGCTTCTTACTGTCTCCCCTTTACTGATGTTGGTGAATATGGGTCGTTTGGCGGCTGCCCGAGGCGCCCTTGTATGCCATCGGCTCAACCATGTTTAAATGTATTCATTGTTCCACACTTAATGTCTTCATTGTACAGCGCATTTGAACATATCTATATGAAATTTGCGCTTTATAAATGAATAAATTATTGCTTTATTTGAAAGTGTGGAAGATTGAGCACATGCTCGTGTAGAAAACCACTCAAATTACTTTGCATATATCCATCTAGGATATGTGCAGAAATGCAGATGTGATACACTTCGCAAGTAGTTCTTGGGTACACGGTCTGCAGTTGTGCATCAATGCATCTTTGTAAAAGTAACTATTTCAGCATTGAGAGTGGAGAAAGAAACAGTTTTTCTATAGTTTCATGTTTCCCATCTCAGTAATTTCTTCCTTAGATTCCTTTACCGGATGTTATGAATACCTTGTGATTTGAAATGGTTTAATTAAATGATTGGACATGTACTGAAGCATTGCGGAGACATTCTCGCTGTATATTCAGCAAAGCTCATTGGCAACTGTTCAGTAAGACAGTTGTCCAGTAAGACAGTCGTTTTTGGTTAGGAAAGAATACTTCCACATGTTTTTTTAGGTTTGAATTGGTGGGCTCATTTTTTTTCGGGGGGGGGGGGGGG